GCCCTGAAGATGAGACATGTATCCAAAGGCAGAGAAAATGACAAATCCTGCCAGGATACTGGTGAAGGAGTTGATAACAGATATGGACAGTGTGTCCCTGCACACAGAGAGGATCCTCTTTAAATTTCATCTATAGCTGGTGTGTTCTGACGCAGAAAAAAAAAAATTAACAGGCTTTCCTAAGTTTCCTTGATGTTTGAATTACTTTATGATGTTGTTGTGAAAGGAGTTGTAGCTGGACATGGCCATTAAGGAGCCAAATCCAATCCCGATGGAGTTAAAGATCTGAGCAGCAGCGTTTACCCACACCTGTAACAAAAAGGACACACAACCAAAACGAATCATATTGAGTCAGGTTTTGTGTCTTTTAAATGCTTTCCCACTTACCTCCACTACAAGCAGTTTCTTCCAGTCAGGCACAATAAAAAAGGTAATTCCGTCTAATGCCCCAGGTAGTTGCACATTATTGATAAGCAGGGCAATTAGGATAACATATGGAAACAGGGCTGTGAAATACACCACCTGGATAAAAAAAGAAGCCATAAGTCACATCATTTAGTCAGCCTTTAACAGTGTTCCAATTCCAGTTTGTCCTTTCTTTTCCCTTTCCCTCACCTTGCCTGTCGATTTTACACCCTTGAAAATACATAAATAAATAAGGATCCAGGACAGGAGGAGAATAAGGAAGAGTGGCCAACGTATCTGTCCAGCCTCTTCCACTCCACTTGTGGGTTTTAGCATCTTGTATCTTTGGTGAAACAAAAAAATTTTTTATTACATCCGCTATAAATAAAGATATATACATGCACACAAACATACACACACAAACTGTATTTTTCTGCAGTATAAGTCGCACTAGCCAAAAGATGCATAATGAAGAAGAAAAACACATATAAGTCGCTTCGGAGTATAAGTCGCAACAGCCACCTAGAGTGCCCTCTAGCGGCTGTCAGTGTGAAAATAATGAACATGAAATAAATTTTCAGCAGTATAGAAGTAGCAGATACTGATGCACAAGCCTAGAGTGCCCTCTAGAGGCCGTCGGTGTGAAACAAACAAACGTGTGAAATTATATATTTTAATATATATGCTGCGCCTGAGTATAAGTCGCAAACCAAGCCAAAGGATGATAAAAGTGCGACTAATTTTCCGGGCGATAAGTCACACTTTTTTATAAATACAGTATACACACACACACATATATATAAATATATAAATATATATGTATACATATATGTATATGTATATATATTATATATATGTAAGATTTGTTAAAAATATAAATATAAATTTTTAACAGATCTTACTCAGCAGTCTAACCTTGAATCTTTGAGTTTTACGGTATGTTGGTCATGACCCAGTGGAATGGGTTTCTTGATAATTCCGTTAATACCAGATCTTTCACAAACAAGCATTACCTGAGCAGTACAAGTTTTTTAAATCTCATACTGTAGGTTGCCCTGCATGCCCTAAATCTAACTTCACATTTTACGACAACACCTGTGGTTATTTTGTGAAATCTGGGCTCTGTGAAAGAAGATACAAGCGTAACGCTGGTAAAGACCTGTTTTTGTTGTTGTTGTTTCAACATTCACTATATATATCATTGACAACATATTAAACTACAGAATTCTGACCAAAGCACTGGTCAATAAAACTAACAAATCATGACCCTGATCCTCAGCTAAATAATTGGCTTAAGAAATGAGCAGTAATCAAAATGAATTCAAGAAAATTCAACATAAATTGCTAAAACTGTGCAATGACAAAGTCAATTACTACTCATGGTAAATGTTAATCATTTTTTCTCTATTTAAAAATCTACTACATTTACTAATTGTTAGCGCATTTTCCATTGACATGCAATACAGTCTTGATATGTTTTTTTATGCACTATGAAAATAATTATTTTTTAGAATAATAAAAGTATATTATATTAAAGAAATATTTGTGCACATATTATATATTATAAATCAAACAAAGAAAACATTAAAACTGAAATTAAATTACTAGTTATGAATTAATTATTTAATACCCCTCTGGACTATAAATCACACTTTTTCTCCCACCTGTGGCTGGGTTTGCGACATATACAGTGGAACCTCGAGATACGAGCATAATCTGTTCCCCATAAAACCCATAATCCTGAGGTCGTAACTAGAGGTGTTCGTATCTCAAATCATTGTTTCCCATAAGAAATAACCGTATTCATCCGTTCCTCTAAAAAACGTCCTTATTAGTGCTAATAACAACATAAACATTTTTTAATTGCTATAGAGACATACACACACAAAAAAATATAGTATATAAGGATCCCTGTGATTTTATTATTAGTTCTTACGTTCGGGAAGAGAGTTGGCCCATACGTAGACACTTGATTCCATACCGTACTAAAAAATACATTACGTAAATTACATAAACTTAGAATTAACTAATCTTACATACTTTTTTTACATTTTCTTTTTTTTTCTTTTTTGTTGCTTTTTTCGATTTATATTCTTCTATTTAGCTGGCTCTACACTCATATTTATAGACAATTTCATGAGTTATTTCCGTGGTCATCATGCGTTTCTTCTTCTCACTACCATCCTTACCACTCACTCTCTTAGGACTCATCACTATTATGAAGAATGAAGAAAAACAGTAGATCACGTAGATAACGCAAACACAAGACGAAAGACTCGCGGGAAATGCGCACGGAAGTCGACGAATAAGTGAAGTGAACCAGTGAAACTCACTCGTATCTCAAAGCAAAAATTTTGCTCGAAGGCTTGCTCGTATCTCGTAGCACGTATATCTATGTCGGGGAGCTCGTATCTCGAGGTTCCACTGTATATTAAAATATATAATTGCACGTTTGTTTGTTTTCACACTGACAGTTGCGAAAGGGCACTCTGAGCTTGTGTACGAGTATCTGCTACTCCTGTACCACTGGAAATTTACATCTTCATTATTTTCACACTGCTACCTACTCTCCGTAGCAACTTATATATGTTTTTTTGTTCTTCATTGTGCATTTTTATGGGGAACAAAAAGGGGCAGCCAATGATCCTCTGTGCTGTCTTTACAACTCTCTGTAGCCTTTCCCTGTCAGTCAAGACAGTTCACACCCTGGCTATGACCTGTTAGACCTGTTGCCCTCTGGTAGGCGCTACAGATGCATTAAAACAAGGACAAATAGATTTAAGAACAGCTTCTTCCCTAACGCTGTAATCACCCTAAACTCCCATATGCACTGACCAGACTCTCTCCAGCTACGAATGTATCACTGTCACAATAATCTGTACATTACCTTGTTACATGTGCAATTTCAATCACGTGCAATAGTCCATTCCACTGTACAACATACATGCGCAATATGTGTCAACACTGCACCTACCTCCATGTATATTCTTACTTACCTAGATTCTTTTTATTTGCATATATATGTTATATGCATTTATATCTCTGTATATAATTTATCTTGCTTAAAATATAATATTATTTATATATATATATTATATAATACATATAATATAAAATATATATATTATTATATATATTAGAAATATATATTATATATAATATATATATATATTATATATATATAATAATATTATTATAAATATATAATAATAATATATTATTAATAATAAAATTATTTCTAATTCTATCCTATTCTATTTTTTGACTGGTGCGACTTATATTCTGGAAAATACAGTATGCGAGTTGTAAATTACAACTAAATTAAAATGATACACAGTACTTCTGTCTAAACAACAGAAACCACTGCGACAACAATCTGAGCGCACGCGTAGTCGTTTTCACACTAGGGTAATAAACTGTAAACGTGAATGTTAACAGTTTACGTGAGAAACATGAGTCAAAAGGCTGATTGTTGTATCACTACTTAATGAACTGACCTTTAGTTTCAGCTTCTCGGCAATGTCGATAAAGTGAAATACTGTAGGTCATAATGACACAGCAGGGTCTTTCTTTTGATAATGTCTTATCACACTCCTCCACTTTACCTGATAACCCTTGCTTGACGGTGCACTTGTGCGATTAAGATGTGTTTACAATTCTACAATTTCAGTTGACAAAATACTTTTTTTCACTTGCGTTATTTCCACTGGAGTAAGAAACAAATCAGCAGTTTGTGCTGAGAAAGCTGCCAAGTGTCCAGATGGACTTTAACCCAGCTCTAAACAACGTTATTCACGCCATTGCATCTGTCCTTACTTGAAGAACTCCTGGCTTGCGGTAGATGTGTAACTGCTGTTGGTTGCATGGCTGGTACAGTTGGGTGTGTTCCAAGTGTTGTTGCAGTTTTGCCATGGCAGTGGGTCCTGGAAGGAGCTAAAGAGATAATAGAGTGCCCAGGTGATGACAACATTGTAATAGGTGCACATTATGAAGGAGATCGCAACTGTTGCCATGCCCACTCCTAGAGATAAAAAAAGGGTGGTGTCTGTGTTATTTTTTATGTTCCAGGATTAGTTTGGACACATTTGAGAGACGGTCGTCAGCTATGCTTGACTCCTGTACCTTTTAGCAGTGGACAGGCATAAGCCAGAGCATGGACAGGCCCTCTCCTTGTGAACTGGCCCATGATCAGCTCCATGTGGAGAAGAGGAATTCCCAGTACCACCAGCATGAGCAGGTATGGAACCAGAAAGGCACCTGGAAATAAAGTCAACGAATATAAGTAACGAAGTAATGGTTACTTATACCAAAGTCCTGGTTGTCATTTTTATCATCATTATGTTGCTACAGTGCATATTATGCTGACATTTGCTGTTTAGCATTGTAAAGTTTTGCTGCATTTGTGTTACAAGGTTGTGTTTGGAATTTATGCTGAAGTGAAAATTGCAGTTAACAGGTGGCAAGAAATATAACCAAGAGCCCATAGAAGGAAAGGAAAGTGAACTACTTGTCATTGTGACAAGTAGTTATTTACCACTACTTGTTAACCACTAAGCCACCACTGCCCAATAGAGGTTTTAACAATTTTTGGTCATATTAGTTTTACATGCAATGTAAAAAGAGAGAAAATACAATATAACATCATTAACACAAATATTTTACAAACACCAAAATGTTGTTAGATCTCAAAGCACATTCCTCTAATATTTGGGTTCAAAAGTCTGTTTCTTTTTCTCACCTCCTCCACTCCGGTAGCAAAGATAAGGAAACCTCCATACGTTTCCCAGGCCCACAGCTGAGCCAATGCCGGCTAAAGTGAATTCTATCTGCCTGCTCCATGTTGGTCTGCCATGGTGTTGATCCATGTTTGCTGTTGTCGTCACCACAGTCACTCACAGGGTCCTAAAATACGCAGAACAGTGAGTGTATATCGAGCTGCTCTGTGTAATTTAACCTTGAAAGTTTATGATCTTTAATGATTACCTTAGAACAGACCTCCCAGTTCCATATAAACTGAGACATTTGTATAACTTTGCACATGTTTTTTAGTAACTAGAAGTCAACAGACCCTGAATTATATAAGGCTCACACCTACTTCTATAAACATTTTTAAAAACAGGTAAAATATTATCTTGCTCTCTCTCTCTTTCTTTTATTTTTATTTATTATTATTTATTTTATTTTTTTTAGCTTTGTTTTGTAACCAATCATTACACTAAATAATAACAATAAATCAATAGTGGGTGTAGTGGAGCAGTATAATGTCTAATCTACTCTCCTACTAAAACCATATCATAACCCCAAGAATGTGTTTGTGTTTGTTTATGCTAATATAATGTGTGAAACTTTGTAGTTTTGTTTTTTTTTTTTAATATTAATGCCTATTGTTGATTTTTTTTTCAAATGAGATGGCCAGTAAAATAATTATTGGAGTGACCAGAAATGTATTTATTTATTAAAAATAAATAAAATAACATTTCTCAAATAAAACTACTGTAGGACACTAGTAGTAACTGGTCTTATTTCGAAAATACCTAACGGAAGCTTTATGACGCATCCTCAAATAGACTCCATTTTGGAAAAAAAGAGAAACACATCGATAGGGGCGTGGACGGGAAGCCTGCGAATATTTCCAACAAAAAAAAGAGTCAAAATTTTGGTTAAAAATAGAAGCAACGTTGTGCTTTAGGTGGAATTATTCTTGTATGCGTGAAAGTGGTGCGAAGAGAACTTTATTCTTTCGGTAAAATGGGAAACTGCCACACCGTCGGACCAAACGAGGCCCTTGTAGTTTCAGGTATAGTAAACGATTCTTTTTTTTACGCGACGTGACATCGATGTTCAGTTCGGTGGTATTATTTAAAATGAATAATAAACATCCATAGACACCTTTCACCAGTATATGTTTACTGATAAGCTCATACATGTTAAAAAGCTTTCATGTAAAATCTCAGGACAGCCTCTTAATATATTAACGGTTTTCTGTAGTGGACGGGTCTACTCCCGTCACTCCCCAGAGTAAAGGAAAAATTCCTATTAACTCAGCCTTTAGAACAACCACATCGAAATGAGCTTAGTCTAAAGTCTAAATCTTAAAATTACGATTTTTATTATCGTCATTACACCAATAACATCCAGAGTAAGTTCATCATGTCGAATAGTGTCGTATAGTGTCGAGTGTCGTATAGTAATAAATCCTGGGGAACTAGTACTCGACATCCCACGGAGAGTAAATGTAGTATTTTGGTGGGCGGCAGGATAAAATTCCCAGGTTCACAAGACGTAATAATAACATGTTAAAAGTTGTACCTCCGCATACTTGCAGTATTTAATTTGACAACAGGTGGCAGCTTCCTTTCTTAATCGTAAATAAAAGGGTGCCATTTTATTTGGTTACCATCATTGTTCAAGGCTTCAAATTAGACACTTTCTAGCAAAAGTAGGAAATGGTCCGTAGGACTTCAGTTCTTTATATTTAGGAAATAGTGCTCTGGGGTTTATTGTTTATTTAATTTTGATTATGTTTGTGGTTTTCTTGTGTTTTCAGTTGATCTGCTTAACTATGATCTGAAACCAAAACATGATTGGGATTTAAAATAGTGAAAACATTTTAAAGATGCGTTGGAGAAAGGAAATGATTGTGTGTTGCAATAAATATGGTTTTCCGATAATCGTTATTACCCATGATGCATCGCGCCGTCTGCAATGTTGTGTGGCAAAAGTATTAGAAGTATTAGAGTATTAGAATATTAAATCAAAACATCATTAGAATTTACATGAAATCGTGTTTTGCTATTGATTAGATTTTACTTTTTTCACAAAAAATATATTTTTACTTTCTTTATTAAAATAAAAATAGTTTGATTGTACCAGTACATAGAAAATACTGATAACGATGGGATTTACGTTTGCATTGTGTACATTTGTCATGTCTGCAAAGTACATTTTGATATATTTTAATTTTATTGACATTGAACATATTCATTAAATAAAAATATAATGTAATTACCCGAAATAAAGTGTTCAGAACAGACTTTGTAATGCCTTTTTGGTTGGATCTGGGTTGAAATTAGTACGGTTAATACGTGAAAGCCGTAGCATCCTTTCTTCTGTCAAAATATCTTCCGTCAGCTTTCCTCGGTGACAGATTGCTTTATGTCAAAATACTTCATCTTGCGATCTCCAATCCCATATCAGTTGGTACAACCCCACACAACACAGATATTGACCATTATCGGTGTTCTTTTGTGTATTTATTATCAATCTATACGCTCTGTTGCCACACAAGCTGGTGGACTACGAAACTATGGGTGGAAGCGTGATGTCATCGGAAAACTATCTATAGTACAATAATTGCATTTAAAATTTGAGTACAAAGTTACACATATTTCCATACAGAGAAATGACTGGAATATTGAGGGTTGGGTATTCTTTAAGTGAATTTGAATACTCATTCATATGCCCCAAGCCTGGTGCCTTAACTGAGCAGTGCAGGCATGCAGGAATCTCAGTTATGTTGATTAACTGGAGGAACTGTGACTAAAATGGTGTGTCAAAGTGTTCTTTGCAGGCTCACTGAGGTTTACATTCGGGTTTAGCGTTAGTGAGGTCTGTTTTGTTTGTTAAATCATCAGCTCCACTTCAGTTTATTTTATAGTTGCCATTTATCCCAAATGCATTAAATAGTTAATGAAAAGATTGGGCACAGGTCACTGTCTTAACATTTTTCAAGAAAAAATATTGTAAAAGTTATTGATGAGAATCACAGCTTTATTGTCCACCTTCTTTTGCTATGTTATTTTGCTAATAGAGTATGTACAGTATTGCATGTGTGCCCATATGTAGTAAAGATCTAAAAGTCTACTCCTCCCTCTCCCACTCTGCTAGCAAGTGACAGCTGGGTATGTCACACTTGCTCTGGAGATTAAACTACCCCAGTCTGGTGTCACGAAATGGAACTCCTGCATCATTATTTACATCTGATCCAAAGAGAACAGACTTATTTTAAAGCTTTTGTTCTTGTGTCATACAAAGGTACATATTTGAATAGTATGTGTGTACTGGTAGTTTATCATTTCCTCTGTGGTGGTTATGTGTAACTTCCCCTAAACATGTTGATAATGCGTCTTCCAAGTGTTGTGGGTTTAATCATATGAATTACCAGAGCTGAATAAACAAGTTTCATCACACTTAGACAAGGCTGATAAAGCTCAAATTCAAGAGGAACCTTAAAGAAAGATTTATCACTTTGATTTGAAAGGTGTAGTTTTTTTTTAAATCAGTGAACATCTCTGTTTCAATTTATAAAATAGTTGCTTCCTTTTATGAGTTTAGCAACTGTTTCAGTTTTAAAGTCAGAAAATCCACAAATGTCAAATTTTTTTTTAAATCCACAAATAAACATTTAAAGTATACATACTATTTGATGTAACTAAATTTGCAAGTCAAATAATTTTTTTTTAATGTTGGCAAAATAAAAACAACTGTTTTACAGGACAAAAAAAAAGAACAATTATTCATTATCTTATCATATTCATTATCATATATCGCAATTCTATCTCAAAAAACATTTGTATCCACAGGTGGCTGCTGTGGTTCAGACCAAAAGACATATGTGGTTGGGGGATGGTCATGGGCCTGGTGGCTCATCTCTGACATCCAGAGGTAAGATGGTCTCTCCTGGCGTCAGTTTTTACCAAATTAGTTGTAGGTTTCCACACATTTACATCCCATGTAAAAGTAGTGATTTGAAGCCTACCTTGCAATATGTTAAACTGTATGTAGGATAAGTTTATTAGAGATGCAGTGATTGCAGTGTTTGGCTGATTGAAATTCTCTTTAATTGCCTGCATGTAAAAATAGTATAGTGTTCTTTAGCACAAAATTGATTCTTGTAACAGGTTGTTGTAATGAATTAACTCAGTCACAGGTTCTCTCCTCAGTTTAACAACTTTTAAAACCAAGTGCTTGTTGACTGGAATATTATTAGTATTAGGTGCTAATTCAAAATTAGCAAAATTGACAGTTTACTATAAATACTTGTCCAAACTTTAGTTGTAAAACTAATCGTGCTTCAGCCCACAGCAAGCTGCTGTTGTAGCATATTGTAACACAACTTAAAATGGCTAACATGGCTGTACATTGTTTTGGGTTTTTTTAATGTTGAATTAGGTTTGTTACTTAGAAAAACCTTGCAGTGACACAACACGGTTAACCTTTTAAATATATTAACAGAACATTAATTCTGTTCATCTTAGTTGTGATTGTATTTAGGAAAAATAAACAGCTCACTGTTTGACCATTAACCCATTTTGGATCTCCACATCACCTATAAATTGTATCTCGTGACAAACTTTTAGTGTGTTTCTCAAACTTTCCCTTAGGCTGATATTGAGAAGTTTTAGGGAGTAAAGTTACTGAAGCCGGTGCACCATTATCTTTTTAATTTAACATATATTAATAAACCCGTCTCTGTTTTTTCTGGTTTTAAATTTTGCGGTGTTTGTATTTCTCTAATTAACTAACCTTTCTTGCCCTTTTTGATGTTAATCTGTGCTGGCTGTGTGTCCACAACATTCTTTTATTACAAAAATCAGTTGGATATATTACATCTGTTAATGAAAATTTTAAAAAAAAACTGTTATAGATACAGACCTATTTGGGTCATGTTTAGTCATATATTACATCTATTAATGAAAATTAAAAAAAAAACAAATACAGACCTATTTGGGTCATGTTTAGTCTTAAGTCATTAGAGGTGCTATCCTGGTTGATGCGTTTGGGTTTTTTTCAGGGAAGCAACCATTTAAGCTAATAGCCTTGTACTTGTACAGCCAGTGGCTGGGCAGCATCATAAAATGGGGGAAGGGAGTGTAGCTTCCCATCCATGCTGCAGTAATCATTTTAGCGTATACATCTGTGACTCATGGATCTAGTTCTGGAAAGATACGAGAACAGGCGGAGCTTTAACTAAGAGAGTCTTATTCAACTGTTGATGGACTCAGGTCCTCATATCTTCTTTTCCAAACAAAATCAGTAGTTGTTTTATCATCATCACAAGTGTAGCTTCACAAAAACAGTGCAACAAAAGCATGACTATAGATAAGGTGTCTGTTTGCCAGTTGTAGGACATTTCTGTGTAATCACTTTGTGAATGTAATCACAAAGTCACAAGACTAAAGTATGCTGTCTACACATAATTTTTTTTTAAATCTTTTGGTTTAGTTTATGTCACATATGTCTACATTATTTTCACGTGTCCTCGCAAAAGTTAAGAAGAATTCAGTAGCCAAGACTGTTCCAGTCATGTCCGCACAAGCAGCACAGCAAGGCTCTGGTTTGTTTCTGTTGCCCTCTCCTTCTTCTTCTTGACCATGGTTACTGACTTTCCTAACAATTGTTGTTAATTTCACTGTTCTGCCTCTGCTACTCCTGCTGCCTGCCTGCCTGCATAGAATGTCTCTGGAGGTTATGACCATCCTCTGTCGCTGCGAGAATATCGAAACCTCGGAGGGCGTGCCCCTGGATGTGACAGGGGTGGCTCAGGTAATGCATTTCACAAGATGCTTAAAAAGCAGTGGCTGGTGCTTGAGACCAAAGGACGGTGAAGGAAACTGGGCCCAACTAACATGCTAACGCCTTCTTTGTATTTGGTGTCATTTCTCATCTTTAATGCTTTTCTCTGCGGCATGTCAAAAGGAGACGGTCAACAGCTTGAAATCTACCATAAAGCTAAACTCTGAGTTACTTATGACAACAGGGTCTATAATGAATACTATAAAAGGTTGTAGGAGGCAAAAGCAAAATGCAGTGCACAATATTTGTTATAAGTGTTAGGGTTATTTATATATAAAAAAAAAACACAGCATGTGGACAGCATTTAATTTTGCTATGTTGTTAGTGATCTGGAGTCCTTGGGTGAATGGTTTCACTTTGTCCTGTTTTTTTTTCCTCTGTGTTTTGGGCTTTCCCTCCAACTGCTTTCCCCTCCGAACATGTCAATTTTTATTTTATATTTTTTTTACATTCTTCACAGGATAACGCTTGAGATTATGACCCTGCAGCCCAAGTGTGAGGATGTAGAGACAGCGGAGGGTGTAGCTATTACTGTCACAGGGGTGGCTCAGGTAAATCACCACACTTTTTCTGGGAATGCCAGTTCAGACTCCACTAACCTTCCAACTCATTTCCACCCTCTTTTTTCCACTGGAATCACCTTATAATCACACCAGAGGTAGAATCTCTTCCAGTTGGAGTCAAGACTTACAAGTACACCTGCATATTTTGTGACGGGGCGTGAAAGAAAATCAAACAGATTTATGGTCAAAATGTTATCGACATGGTTTGTCCTATAAGAGGCAAAAGGATAACAAGGTGCCTGCTGTAAATACTCCTGAGTGATCACACGTGATGCACATTCTTACTGGATTTTCTCACTGTGGATCTCAGAAGTCTCTGAGAATCAAACTTTGCACTAATGCGGCCATATTTTCAATAAGAAGAAAGCGTATACCTAAATACACCATCACACATTTTCCGCTTAAACCACCAGTTTCTTAGTCCAACTTCATGACTTCACTTCTTCAACTAAATCTTTTATATGCCGTATATGAAGGCCGACATTCATCTCCGCGGTTTCATTAGTTATTTATGGGCCACACCTGATACAATGTTTTTGACCAAAGAGCCAAACTACTAAATTGCCCCACTGCTGATAGCTGCATACAATGGTTGTCCCTGCATTTTGAGGTCACCAGCCCCATCGCCATCCTTCAGTTAGCTGTGTTTTGTATGAAAGAGGTCAGAGGTTCAGAGAAGTCTTTTCTTTCTATAGCCCGAGTTGCTAAATGTATTAAGTTGTTCAGATTAATTCTGGGTGACACCATCAAAATGAGGAAGAGAAAATCCACTTTCAAAAAGATGTTTGGTCAAAATTGCTTTTTTTTTTGTGACGCAATTGTAATTACAGTATTATAAATAAATGGTCTGATCGGTCCACTTGCTTGATTATTAACGACAACATCAGGACAGTCTATCTAGGAAACTACGCCTACTTAATGTACCCATTTGTATTCTATACTTCAAATGAGGCGAGGACTAACAAAAAGGGGCATTTTGCTTGTTAAAATCAAGGAGAAAGATACTACACAAGTGTCTCATAGCAACCACAGTATGCCATGTAGACTACAATATTAATGACTTGTCTGCACTAACTGGAACAACACAACGCCTGAATGAAATTAGTGTTTCCACTGTTTTGGCCCTGTCCCAATGAAGGTAGATTATTTATTGACTTGTGATCTTGTGAACAACAAACTAATGACTGTTTGAAGATGACGGTTTGTTCAGGTTTTACCAGGATTTTGGTAATTATGACAAAAAACGACCAAAATTCACAATCTCAAAATTGTGCAAATTTCAGTTTACATACTGTATGATGGATGATATGTTTCACAGTGTGTGAGGTCAACTTTTTCTCTCACACAGCAATGCTGGAATTTTGAATTTGAATCAAAAGTTGATACTTGTTGATTATCTCAAGAAGCACAAAAAACAATTTTCAAAATTATCAAATCGGTTGAAGCAGAAATGAATACACAAAATACAGAATACACTCTGAAACAAAAACTACTACTTCTAGCATTTTGTGCGATTAAGTCAAGTCTTTTAGACAACAGTTTTGAATCCACTATTTAAAAAACAATGATCTTTGTCTTATTGCTCCAGTGTATAGATTCCCAGTAGCTTTCATCTTTTTCAGCAGTTATAGTCACCTGCCTGGTATACACCTCTTAAGTGAATAACTACAATCTCCTGTCATTTAATTCTTGTTAATTAGAATTGTGTAGTTTTAGGTTTGGATTTTCTCAAAGAACTTTAAATAGGGTGTACTCATTTTCAACATGGGCTTAAATGAATTTGTCAGTAAAATATCTTTTCAGTGACAGCAGAGTAAAGAATCTTGCTGGCGGTGGTGTACTCATTTATGCTGAGCACTATATATATATATATATATATATATGTATGTGTATATATATATATATATATATGTATGTATGTATATA